GGGACCGGCCCTGCCCTCCCCTCCCCTGCCCGGCCCAGCCCCGCCTCAGCCTCTCCGTGAGTAGCGCGGCCCGCACGCGCCTTCCGGCCTTCCCCGGACTCCCCGCGGTCCCCAAGTGCCCGGGTCTCCCTCTCCCTGTTGCCGCTCATTGCCGCCCTCAGACACCCGGCTCTGCCGCCCCGCCCGGAACGCCTTGGTGCCCTTCGCCACCTCCGCCCCCCGAGTACCTCTGGGTCCCTCGGCGCTCCTCTCTCCGCCCTGCCTGGCCTTGCTGGGGCACGCTGTGCTCCAGACAGGTCTCTGGCTCTGCCGGGGCTCCACATCCCGCCCAGGCCCAGCGGTTTGCTCCCCGCAGGGCGCCGGGCCTCCCGCTGGCACGGCTCCTCTTCCCAGGGGTGCTGGAAGCTCCGGCAGGACGCTGGCCCGGTGCTGCTCCCCGTGTCCGGGCTGGCTGCACCCCGATAGCGGGGATGGGGCTCTTAGTGGGGAGGGTGTCTCTCTACCAGGGACCCCTCTGGCATATATGCCCAGCGATGGCCTATTCCATAACAACTGATAGTCCAGGATTTATTGTCTGCTTGTGACTTTGGGCTGCTTCTCTTTCCCAGAACGTGGGAGTGGGCCCATGGCACTGCAGCAGCCTCGCCGAGGGGTTGGCCTGTAGCAGAGGCCCTCAGTGCCCAGGAGTTCAGGGGCTTCCCCTCACCCTGCAGCAAAGCCTGGCCTCCCGCATTGCTCCCAGCAGGAGTTCTGGCAGGCAGGGAGGCTCCAAAGCGCTTTTGCTCATAGCACATCAGTCCACAGCCACTACTTGTGCCAGGCTCTGTCTTTACTAGGGAGAGGGTTTGAAGGCACCTCTGTCACCCTCACCCCACCCAGCAGGGAGCCCCGATGGACATGAGAGGAGAGCAGCACACGTCCTGACCCCTGCCCCACACGGCTGCCCCTGTGCCAGCCCCCAGGACTATGGACGAGTGGAAACCCAACCCTGCTGTGAAGCCCCACAAGAAGAGGAGCTGGTACCTTGCCTGGAAGTACAAGCTGATGAACCAGCGCGCGCTGAGGAAGCTGTGTCAGGTGAGCCACCCACAGCCCTGCAGTAGATTAGGAGGGATAATCTACAGGATTTACAAGTTTGTGGAGCAGCTGCATGGGTGGAAGTGTGTCTGCTGGCAGTCTGGGTGACCTGACATGCTGAGGAAGCATAACTTGTTCCCCGAGAGGCTGCCTCCAAGTGCCTGTATATGGAAGGGTCTGCCATGTGTAGCAGCTCCTCTCAGCTGCCAGCAGACCTGTTGAGTGGCTATGGGGGGAGACACAATTATCCAGGTGGCCTTGGGAAGTTTTCAGTTAGAAACCAACTGATTGCTCCCATCCTGGCTCTGGACCCATGCTGAGTGCTGCAGGGTTCAGCCTTTAGCTGTTTGATTTGCAAACCAAGCCTGGTATAAGGCACAACAGGTGGACAGAGAAAATAGGGCTTGGTAACAGGATCTCATGCCCCAGAGGCAGCTGGTGTCTGGAAAAGCCTCAGGCTTGTTTGCTTGTGCTGTAAAACAGCTAATCCTTGGTGGAGACGGTGTCCTGGGGGGTGTCTGGGCCTGTAAGGACAGGAAGGTTTGGCCCTATGTCAACAAAACACAGAAAAGGGGCCTTTCCTGAGAGGAGCTCATGAGATCTGGCAGTTGGTTGTTGTGGGAGGGAGCAGGGGAGGGTTTTGTGTGTGCCTGGGAGGACAAAGGCTCGTGCAGTCTCTCTGGGCAAGAAGACTGCTCAGTTCTGTGTCTGATAGGGTGTTCAACATGCTGGGGCAACAGGCTACATATCTCTGTACTTCGTGGCACTACTTAAACCAGAGATGAAAATTTGGCTACAGACTAGACCAGAGCTGCAGGTATGGAATAGCCAGGTCTGCAGCAGCCAAGCATTCATCAGTTAACTGTGACTAAACCAGCTCTGCTAAACCTGGCTGCTGGTCTTGCCTAATTCTTATTCCTTATTGCCTTATTCGCTCTGGTCACCAGGGCTGTTCCCTCCTGTCCTCAGTGCTGATCAGGGCAGAAGGTCTGGGCAGGTTGGTGAGATGGCTTTGCTGCCTCTCCAGGAGCCCACGGCTCTGTTCGTGCTTAATTAAAATCTTTCTGTGCACAGATCCCAAAAGGTGCACATAGTCCTGAGTCAACAGCAAATTAGCAAGCTAAAATGGCATAGTGACATTTATACTATCGTGCTGTCTTATTGCTGGTTTTCCATTTTCCTCAGTTACTCCTTGAACCTGCTTGGCAGAGATAGCAGCAACACTGAGCTTTGAGGCAGTAGCTGGACAGACAGGGCAGGAATCCTTTTAGTGCCTCCCATCGAGGGCAGGCCAGTGTGTCACCCCAGCCCCAATAATGACCTCGGAAAATCGAGGATCTGTTCCACAGCCCTGGACCTTCCCAAGCCCTCTGTGTCAGCATCCTCAAGGGTTGCAATTGAAGTTTGCTGCAGACAGTAAGGCTGCAGGCTGGTCTCTGCAGCCTGTGGTACAGTGCAGTTTCCTGAAATCAGACCTCAGCTTCTTCCCTTTGTTTGATTCAGCTGCACAGCATCTCCTCTCCTCTGAATACCCTGAGTGCATCCTCTGGTTCCAGAGGGACAGATGAGAGTAGTGATGCTGCAGCAGAGGCAAAAGTTAAGGTTACCCTGGGAGCTGTAACTCTGAATTACCAAACTCTTTGCCTGCAGGGACCCTCAACCTTGATGCAATAATTTAGCAGGAATCTCCTCACAGATCTGGAAGCAGGAGGACATTGGAAATAGGTTAATTCTCACATATCAAGGAGTCAGTACTCTCCAGCTGATGAATGCATGTCATCATGAAACTCGGTCACCTGTATTTCTTTCTCTTTGCTTTCCCTAGAAGAAATCAGGGGAAATGTCAGATTATTGTGATCCCATGCAGGATCTCCTTGAGGTGATCCTGCAGTCCATGCCAAGGCAGGCTGGTTTTGGAGTTGTTACTTAAAAATTTCTAACACAAAACATCCTGCATTGCAGACAGGTGCTGTCCTCTTCCTGCTTGTGACCGTAATTGTGAACATCAAGCTGATCTTGGACACCAGGAGAGCTGCTTATGAAGAGGAAGAGGAGTCTGCACAGGACTATGGTGAGGGGCAGCATCCTTTTGTGCTTTGAAAGCAGGGAAACTGGAAGGTTTCTCTAAATGAGAACTAACTTGTCACCAGCTACATCATGAAAAACAGGTCTGTGCATGTGGGTTTAACAAAAATTAATAGAAAATGCTGCTCCCTTCCTGATCTGTCTACTGAAAGCTTTAGCACATTTGGCTGCGGAGACTTCTGTGGAGTCAGCTGAGGCCAGAGCTGTTGTCATTTGGTATTTCCCCTTACCTACCATCCCTGTAAATTCTGATCCATGACTCCTTGGGCTAGGGTGCCTGCTGGCCATGCCCTTCTGGAGTTTGGCTGGGCTAGCACAGAGCAGGGACAAGCTAGAGGTGCCTTGACTGGTTGAAACTGGGAATTTCTCTGCTGTAGATGATGAGATGCTGAATGTGGAGGTCCCCAGGCACCCTGTCAACAACAAGAAGGTCTTGGATGTCGAGGTGTACTCCAGCCGGTCGAAGGTCTATGTGGCTGTGGATGGGACAACGGTGAGTGACAGGTGCTGGCTGTCCTGTGAGCGGAGGGTGGACAGAGCTGAACGGGTGAAGCCACACACAATAGTGGTGACAGCACTTCAGTGGCTGGCAAGAAGTTCTGCTTCCAGGACTTCTACTCTGGCACCCATCACTGCCATTAGCAAAGCCTCTTGTTTGGGAGCTCTGCTGTGCAGAATGGGCGTGGAATAAGAAGAGGTCTTGGCATACAATTCTTATCATTTATCCACTTGCAGGTCCTGGAAGATGAGGCTCGGGAGCAGGGAAGAGGGATCCATGTCATCGTCTTAAATCAGGCCACGGTAAAACATCCCCGTGTCTTTCTTACTAGGAAGTTTGTCCTTGCTGCTGAACTGTTGGGTGCCTGAGGCCAGGGGCAGCCAGGAGGGAAGTCCTGAGTGCTTTTTGTGTGCAGTTTGCACAGCATGGCACAGTCACCCAGAGACTCTGCAGGGTTTCCTTGTGCTGCCTGCTGTCCTTGGGGAGCGGGCAGGGGAGGAGTTGTGAGGTTGGATGATGCTTCCCATGGACCTCTGTGCAGGAAGGCCTGAGGGCTGAGCTTGCCTGGGGACTAACTCTGGGAATTAACTCCCTGGCATACCGGAAAAGCCACTCCCTGTGTTACTCAGGGAATGAGGCTTCCAGGGCAGAGATCCATAATTCTGTGTGTCCATACCATGTAGTATTTAAGTTCCATCTGATGTATGAACACCAACAGGGTCACGTGATGGCCAAGAGGGTCTTTGACACCTATTCCCCCCATGAAGATGAAGCCATGGTACTTTTCCTCAACATGGTTGCCCGGGGCCGGATCCTGATCTTCACCATTAAGGTATGCGACCCTAATATCAAAAAAACATCATCTTGAGTCAGGATGTCCTGAAGCTCATCTGGGCAGTAGCCTCCTAAATGTCATCAAGCATTAAATGTCACATCTCCTTGGGGCTGTGACTCCCTGTCTGGATCACCTCCCTTGTCCTCTTGCTGTCCCTTCTTGCTGCAGGTACTGCTGTGCCCAGCAAAGCAGGAGAGCAAAAAGCAGATGTGTCAGAGCC